TTAAGAAATGACATGAACTTTGAACCTATTCTTGAAACTTCAGCTCTGGCTAGAGCTGAAGATCTCCCCATTCGCACTTCCTTACAGCTATTTTTTAGAGAGATCTAGAGTCACATTCTGCACGGTGGTATTTGTATACACTTTTTCATAATTATGCAAACTTTTATAATGAGGATGTGCCATCTCTATGCCACACATTGTGCCAAGGGCTTTAGAGACATCATCTCATCTAAATTAAATTGCATTTGCTCTTTTTTAAGTTCATTTTTCCAACAAAGTTACTTTTCTTCTTTTGAAATTAAAATTAAATTTTAATTTCACAAGTTATTCATTTGTACACATTAGGATTTTTAGTTGCAAACAACAGAATCCATTCTGGCTAGTTTAAGAAGAGGCTCTATTTGAGGATATTAGGTTAACTCACAGAACTGTGGAAGGACTGGAGAAACAAGCTAATTGATGAGCTTCCAAGAATAACAGCCTGACTCATCCCCAGCACTGGCCTCGTAGGGGAAACACCTCTGCTTGCCCTGGACACCTCTGCTGCTTCCGATTAGCAGTACGAATCGAATCCCCACCTGGAGCCTGTGTCTCAGGCTGCTCACGTTCCAGTCAAAGCCTAGTGCAGATGCAGATAACTGGCAGAACCCAGAGCGCACATTTGCACCCTGGTTCCCAGGGAGGCTGGGAAGTGGATTTTCTGGATTCTACCTGGGGAAGGGGCTGTTCAAAACACGGAAAACTAGCAAAACGTAGAGAAGGTATTGGAGAGATGTTAGAGAGCCATCAGCGCCAGTCGCTGTCACTGTAAACAACAGCAACAACGATAACGTGCTTTTCTGTTCGACCTGTGGTTCATGGACCAACAGGTCAACATTACCTAGGGGATGGTGAATGCAAAACCTTGGACCCCTGCCCCCGATTTACTGAAACAGATTCCACATTTTAATAAACTCCCTCAGATCATTCGAACATGCAGCAAAGTTTGAGAACTTCTGCTCCAATGTAAGAAAATGCAACACTTGTTCATACAAATGAAAACGTACTCACTTCCCCAAAAGGGGGAGACCCGAGTCTCATCGGTCCCTGCATCCAGCTCCAAATCTAGGATCTCTGGGTGACCTTCACTCTTCTCTAGTTCACTTACGATCTTGTCCTGACAGTCCACACTGACGCACTTCATAAAGTAAACCATTGCCAACGCACCCTATATGAAATAATAAAAAAAAAAAGGAGAGGAAAAAATTAGTTAAAATATATAAAAGTATACAGGACACAGCAAGGAAATAAATAGAAGCCATGACTATAGTTCTCATTTCTGCAGCTGGTCATGAGGCTCTTGATGGTGTTAACTTCCTTCCTCCACTACCTGTTCCACGTTTTCTTGCCCTCAGCCAGTACCTGGTGGGGCAACTCCAAATTTTGTTCCTGAGGGATCTAAGCTTTTAGTGGTTCTGCCTGTTTCAGGCTATGGCACTGGAAGCAATACCAGGAGGTGTCCAAAGATTCCTTATGTCCTAGAAATAAATCCTCCTTTCCCCATCACTGTAGCAGCGGAGCTCTTGCCCTTGACATTAAGGATCAATCATCCCAGCCTACATGGTATAGTCCTTTCTTGTCTGTTTTCTCCAGACTCATAAGGAGTCCCAAATTATCACATCATCAGTTCAACTCCCGATTCAAAGGGACCACTGTGGTGTCCTCTGATGGAACCATTTCTCCCCTGACCTCTACCCGCAAAGCCCAAGTGGCTGCGGAGGAAGTAAAATTCTTCTCGAGTGTAATGGGAAGTGTAACAGTGAGAAGCCCCACTCCCACTCCCACTCCCACTCCCACCCTTTGCTTTTTAGACCATGCATTCTGTCTATGGGGGAAGCTCTTTATTGGTCACTGGTTCAGAGTGTGTGCCACACCTCTGGAGGGCAACACTCAGCCATAACTGAATCTTCAACAGGCTATCCCGCAAATATGATAAGACCAGTGAATCCTTATTTCTTTTGTGAAAATTGAGTTCCATAGTCAAAAGTAATGTTGGTTTAAGATGGCATTCAGGTGAATAAGGCATTCAGTAAGTACATTAATGATGTAATTGGCAGAATAGTGAGAAGGAAAGGAAAATCCACATTTAGAAGTGTCTAGTCCTGTGAGGATAAATCACCTCTTTCATGATGGAAGGCTCCAGTGTAATCAGCCTCCCACCAGGTGGCTGACTAGTACACGCAGTGATTTTTCTCTGTGAAGTACTTAGGGTTGGTAAATTCTGCTGGCAGACTCAAATATGAGGGAAAGTTCATGTTGCTGACTCTATACATAACTCCTGTCCCTGCCCCATGATAACTTAGTTTATGAAGTCATTAAGCAAGCACTTGGGTGACTGGAGAAAGCCTGACTGGTTCTCTCGATGAGCATTTTTGTGGAGTACAAAGAACCCTCACGCTCTACAGCCTTTCTGAGAGGCTGAGAAAGCAAGTTTTTTTGGAATCTACGTCAGGTAGATGAAGAACCCTCACGCTCTACAGCCTTTCTGAGAGGCTAAGAAAGCAAGTTTTTTTGGAATCTACATTAGGTAGATGTGATGATACAGGGTGGGTGTTCAAAAGATTTGGGGCAGCCACGAGGGATAGCTGAGCATGACAATTTATATTAAAACATTACAAGCACCAAGAGTGAAGGCTAATGTACACTATGGACTTTAGGTGATGATGACGTGTCAATGCAGGTGCATCAATGATGATGAATGTACCTCTCTGGTGGGAGGTGTTGATAGTGGGTGTGGCTACACATGTGGGGAGGAGAGGGTACATGGGAAATCTCTCTACCTTCCCTCCACTTTGCTGTGAACCTAAAGCTGCTCTTTCAAAATAAGTCTTTTATTTAAAAAAATCTAAGATGAGGTCGAGTCTGCTTTGAGCACCACCCCACCAAGCCCAGTCTCCTGCCGAGAGAACCACCGTTGCCACTTTGGTGTGCCTCCTTTCACACCTTTTGTTATGCATTTACATAATTATACATGCACCCCTTGAAAATATATGGTACTATTTTATTTATGTATGGAATCATTTAACACATAGTATTAGGCAACTTGGTTCATTTTTTTTCTCTCTGCAATATAGAGACTGTAAATATAGTTCTCTCTCACTCTTGTGTTCCAAAACACGGATGCATCATAGGTTATTTAGCCATTCTCATAATATTTTCTTTTTTGCATTAACTATACGTAATGAACATGTTTGTATATGCCTGCTTGAGCTCATACACAAATGTTTCTTAAGGGAAAATCCTAAGTGGAAGTTATGGGTTACAATATATAAATGTTTTTAATTTTAATATATAGCCCAAATGCTTTATATCGTCATGGTAGTTTCTGAAAGTATCCATTTCCCCATACTTTTAGCCAACGGTATTATGTCATCAAACTGTGTGATTTTTGCCCACCTAATTAGTATAAAGGGTATCCCGGTTATCAGAATGAATTTCTCTGTCTGAGTACTTTTTTCTGTTATGTTTTCTTATGTATAGCCATTTACATTTCCTTTTCTGTTCTTATTCTTTTTCCATTTTTATTGTTTGTCTTTTAGCTACAGGTTCTTATTAGATTTTTATGTTCTGGATATTAATCGTCTTTACATATCTTTATTGCAAATATTTCTTTCAATCTGTGTTTTATTTGAGCTTTTTGCTGTCCTATCTTCAAAAGTTTTTCATTTGATGCTATCAGATTTCCATTTGGTTTTTGAGTTTTAAAAGAAAAACCTTATTTAAAATGGTTTTCCTACCACCAAGAAAAAAAAATTCTTGTATATTTTCTTCTATATTTTGTTTGTATAGGTTTTTTCCCCAATTCTTTACATTTTTTTTTCAATTCTTTAAATTTTTAATCCAATGAAATATATTGTTTTCCAACTGGTTAGTGAATTTTTCCAGCATTTGTTGAAAAGTAAATCCTTTTCCACTGATTAAAAATGTTATCTTTCCATATACACATGGTTATATTAGTCTTTTTGTCTTTTCCTATCTCACCATTACACTGTGTTAATTTGAAAAGATGTTCAACCTAATATTTTCTTTCTTTTCAGAAAGCTTCCTTTTGAACAACTCTATTATTTGACGCACAACAAAAAAAGTGACATCTGTGGAAGTGATTCTTTGTAAGTTTGGGGTTTCTTCTCCTTATGTGAGATCAAATAACATTTTTAAGTGGAAATGAGTTATATGAGGGAAAAAAGCTCCAAAATGAGACCTTTTAGAAAAACAAGTGTTCCTTTTTTTCAATAGAGATAATTAGTAATAGAAACAAGACTAAACAAATAACAAAAAATAAAACAAACTAAAAACCCACTAATCGTTTGTGGCATTTAAACAAGTAAAGAAAAAAATGGGAATACAGAATAGTAAATGTTTGAGGGGTTCATACAGGTCTCCCTTGTCCATTCCTTGCCTTTGATCTAGTTACTCAATCTAATAAGAATCTGTCGTGTTTCTTAAAAGGTTCATAGAAAATGCCCCAGTGCCCTCAAAATAATCTTATTCAGAATTTTATGAGAAGAGAAGTTCATTATGACAATCTACAAGCAACTCTTAATAAATAAAATTACTTCCTAAGTCTCTTTTTTGGATAAGGAATACTTGTTCATTCATTTATCCTTTGCTTAGAGGAATTATTTTCTAGTAATTAAATTATTTTTCGCTCTTTGATATAATTTGTTGTATATAATACAAAAGCATACTTTTTAATTTTCAGATAAAAATAAAACACTGGCAGTACAGAAGTAACAATGAAAATACCACTTATTTGCCTCTAACTATTAGAATTGTTAGGAATCTGTTTACAGGAAAGAAGTTAGTATAGAATTTGGCCACAAGAGGGAGCCAAAAAGACATAAAATTTGTGATTACCAGGCCCTGTTTATACCCTTTGGGATTACTAAACTTTGAAAAGTAGATATATAATGTGACAGTGGAATAACAGACCGGTTCAGGTCAAGGAACTGGTGTCTCTGAACATTTTTTCTTTTCATTCATTTCACTTTCAATCTTTGAATGTCTTTTAAAAGCTTCTCTTTTAATATTTTTCCCCATTTTGAACCAAATCAATTTTAGGCATATACTTATCAATATCATAGCTAAATTTGTCAGATGAGAAAATTTTTAGATGACGATTTAATGTTTCACATATAAGAGCCAATCTAGTAGCTGCAGACCCCTTGGATTCTTATACTCATTGCCCTTTTCCCAACTCAACTGGAAATATAACTGGAAGACAAGACATGCTTCTTTTTAGTTCCAAGACTACAATGAAGAAAGATATAAACTCTTTATGGTTCATGCGAATTATGTAATATATTATAGACTAATAAAATTATATGACTAATATACCATTTTCTAAAAATTAAAGAGTATACTCAATTTTACTGATCTTTGCTATCGACTGATTAACATTCCGTTCATTTTCATGCCTGAAATATTTCAGAAATATGTGCACAGGCTGAAACTAATTGTTGGAATCCAAGGCAAGTGGATGACAATCTGTCCCTGGTATGGACTTTGTCGCTAGGCTGCAGTATTATTTCTTGGCGTGCACGGCTCGGAATAATTAGTAAATACACAACCTTCAAAGGAACTGATTCGGAAAAGGCATGCCTCTAGGACCTTGTTCAGTTTTGTTCTAGCTGGGAGAGATCAGCAATCCTGAGCAAAGGGACAAAGCACACACGGTACTAACATATCTTCCCCAAGCGGGCCACACACAGGTCACTGTAGGTCCTGTAATTGCACCGTATGCATGGTGTCAGGCTGCCTCGGAGCACTCCAGCTACTGCCTGCCTATGAGGGTGAATGTCATTGGAAGGAGTCGGTCCTACTTGCACTGCAAATAAGAAACGTGAAATAGGTGGTGAGTGGGACTGAAGTTAGAATAAGCAGAATGGAAAAAAAATGATCATTGGACAGCTGAGATATGATAACATCATATCTCTGGTGAATTATTCAGTGTTCCAGAAAGTCAATCAAGATATTATAAAGTCAATCCAATCTTAAAGACACCATTTGGAAAATGCATGCATCTTTATTCTTAAGCAAGTTTCTAATAGGAACATAAGCTTTAGAAAGACCTTAATATTAATTAGGATGTGTTTCCTATTTTTATTCTAGGATGCCCAAACCACCTAATTCAACAGTAGGGTGAGTATACAACTTATATTTTCTTTCTCTGTTATAATCAAGAAAAAATTTTTTGTCAATCCATAGGTTAGTATGAGGACAAATGAGACGTCATGAAAGGTTTTAACAAGTGGGAGGAGAAGCTGATACAAGGTCAAGGTGACAGTATTACTGATTTCCCTCAATTTTATATGCCCTGGTCACTTTTTTTAAATAAACTTTTAATTTTAGTAGTTTTAGCTGTATAGAATTATTGGGAAAATCCTGGGGAGAGTTCCTCTATAACTTATACCCAGCAGTTTTCCCTACTATTAGCATCTTACATTAATTAGTATGGTACACTTGTCACAATTAATGAGCCAATACCGATGTGCGCTTATTAACTAGCGTCCGCGCTGCCTTAGATTTCCTCAGGTTTTCCCTCATGTCCTTTTTCCATTCCAGGATCCCATCCAAGGGACCACATTACATTTAGTAGTCGTGTCTCCTTCTGTTCCTTTGGCTGTGACTATTTCGCAGGCTTCCTTTTTTTCCATTTTATTTATGACCAATTTTGAGAATTACTGGTCAGATATTTTGTAGACTGTCCCCCAACTGGGATTTGCCTGGTGTTTTTCTCATGATTAGACTTAGGTACTGCGTTTTTAGGGAGGAAGGCCACAGAGGTAAAGTGACAAATTTTTCTTCGCATTCTATCGAGAGTAAATGCTACCAACCTATCACTGTTGATGTTGACCTTGATTACCTAGCTGAGATGGTGTTTATCAGGTTTCCCCACTGTGTAATCTTTTTTCCTCCGCTTTCCATACTGTACTCTTTAGAAAGTCAATATGTGCAGCCTACACTTAAGGATCTGGAATTATGCTTCACCTCCTTGCAGACACAATACCTACAGAAATTAGTTGGCGTTCTTCTGTATGGGGCTTTGTCAGTTCTTCCTATTTATTTCGTTATTTGTTTGTCTATTTATTTATTTATTTATTTATTCAATCACATTCATATCAGTATGGACTCAAGAATATTGATTTTGTACTTTGGTGCTTTAGTAGAAATTCTGTGCTACTTTATTACTCAAATTGACCATGAGGAACTCCTTCAGACGGCTCTTATCACCATATCCCTATCGTTGTGGGTTTTGGTGGTTGGTTTGTGTGTTTGTTTGTATACTTCATCATTTATTGTTGTGGATTTTATTTTTTTCCTTTTAGCATTTCCTTACTTTCTGGTACTACAAGATGCTCCAGACTCATACTCATCTTCTGTATTTCCTATCTTACTCTTAGAATCAGCCATTTCTCTCAGGAGCCCAGTCCCCTCCACTGGAGAATGGTATTGGAAACCAAGATGTAATCACTAGGTGTGCTTGGTGCTCCTAGAGTCACTATCGATCTTAACTGAAAATAAGTCAACAGTTAAATACTGTTTTTCAGTGAAAGCAAAGATCTGTTCAAAAGGCTGTTAAAATTAAAGGTTGTCTGGGGTTTTGCTTTTTAAAAACAACCAGGTAAGCCCTTAGTTTTGACTTTTCAAATTCTCTTCAAAGCAATATGAAAAGTAAAGTCCTTGGTTGGGTTCTTTTTCTCAGATCGCCTTTCTGCTCATTGCCTGATAAATTCTACACTCTCTTCCTTTGACTTGATCCTCAAACGTCTACATGGAAGAACTGCGTAACATCTTTTTTTTTGGTGTCCTGTGGACACGAGTTTATTACAGGGCGGGTACATGTTGTAAGTTGAGGAGAGGGGGCAGGGGGATTGGGGCAGCACTGCCAGCCTGAGGCCAAGACAAGAGGCCAGGGGGGGCCACAGCCAGTGGCCAACAGGGCAGACTGAGTCTGGAGACGGCCCATGCCTCTAACTGAATGATTTATAGAAAAGAAACTGAATTCTTTTACTTAAATGTGTATGTGGTTAAGTGAGTAATTGATGTTATACCTTTTCTTTATTATTTCTTCTCTATTTAGGGACTCAAGACACAAAATGAAAAGTAATCTCTAAAAATCATTTAGTATAACAAGAACAAAATTATTTGCTACTTACTCTTAATTTAAGGGAAAAAATATACATTCTGGTAATTTAATACAGTTGCACTCAAAACTGGAATGGGGTACAACCTGAAAATTTAGTTAAAGGTATAATTTTGCAACTTTCTTTAACTAACAAAAATAACCTTTGCGATATTATTGAATGAAATCTCGTAATATATAGAGACTCAAGACACAGAGAGTCCATAGCTTTCAGGTCTTAGAGTAAGCCACATTTTCCTAAATCATTACCAGATATAACTTAATACATTTTCTAGGAAATATACATTTCTACAGTCCAAGGGAAAAAAATTTCTGCCTTAATCCCAGCAATCAGAATTAACTGAGGCATCTCACTGCCTTCCTAACTCCCACCTTTGACCCTTTCTTCACGAAGTCAAAATCCCAGCCACAGACAAAACCAGAGGATTTCAAGAACTGCATACATATATATATATATATATATAGTTGGCAAATTTACCTCCTGTCAAGGAGACCAATCCCCAGGAAGAAATAGTTTATGGGATTCTTGCAGTTCTTTTTTTGTGATTTAACATGCTCTTGGCCTTTAGAACTTTCTGAATTAACAAATTAATCTGTACTTTCTGGTCATGTCTCTGATGAGAACAAGGTAGGATGAAAACAAACGTAATGGCCTTCATTTAAGGCGTCCTTACCAACGTCGAATTTGTAGAATATGGGGCCGCTTTGCCTTGGCCTCTGTCCTTGTGCTAAATGCACATTAGTGTTTAGCTTGTTAAATGATTCTCTGATAAAGAACGTAGATAAAGCAGTTAGCACAGGGCCTTGTGCGGGAGTTATTAAGTGTGTTAACCAAATTTAAAAGCGATGCCCTCTCAGTGTAATTCCTGCTCAGGCCGCAGCTACAATGTCTGAGGACCTCCTAGATGACCTGCTGAGACACTGTCCCCAGAGGGGACAGGCGTGACCATTCTGTGAAACATTCATACTACATTTCCTTAAACTGCACCGAGTCCATGGGAAATGGTATCAGAAGTTCAAAAATTAATCCCACTGATTCCATATTCCACCGATTCTTGCGTCCTAGCTCAACCTGGCACAGACCAAGAAGAACCCAAGAGAATCAAAATGAATTTTCTACCCAGAAAAGTTAATTAGCACATATTAAGACAACCATTACACTCAAGTTACTTCATGAACCATTCTTTCTAGTATGTTTTGTGACCGTCTAATGGCTATTGGACAATATTTGAACTTCAGCCTTTCTCATTTCATTCCCCACTGTCCCCAGGACCCCTTTCTTATCCAGGTCCCCTGTTATTGCCTACTCTACTTGAAGGAGAATGAGGCAAGCCCCTAAGGTTTTGAATGTTCAAGAACCTCCCTTCGAACATGGGCTTTTTATTAGACCACAGTAAACTCATCCTTTCCTGACTTGAACAAATCGGACATGACACA